GTTTGGCTGGCCTTCTTTCCCTTCCCTCCGTGTTGATTGGCCCGCCCCCAGCCCGCCCCCAGTCCCCGATCATAGAGGCTCTAATGGATGTATCCGCGTCCCCATCAGGCAGCGGCGGCGCGGGACTTTTAAAAGGTCCCGCCGTGTCGCCCCGCGGTGGCGCCGCGCCACCGTTCGGCCGGCCGGGGTCCTGGGCGTACGCGAACGAGCGTCGCGGCGAGGCGGAGCGAAGTGACTTCGACCTCGGATGCGTCCGGGGGGTGAGAAGCAGGAGGCGCGGAGGAGGTGAGGGGGCTGATTTCAGGGGGCACGGGGGGCACCCGCGCCAAACCGGGCAGAGCGGTGCCGCCGCGCCACGCCGCGCCCGCGTCGAAGCAATAAGGCCAATAATCACATCAGCTATCAGACCCACGCCCTGCAGAGGGAGAGAGAGGGAAGGCGAGAGAGAGAAAAGATGTCGATTTCGAGTGATTCTATTCAAGAAAGGGTCGGAAATTCGCCGTCGTTCGGTCGTCAGTAAAAGGCATCAGGGGTGAAAGCTAATACAATAAGGTGAGAATTAAGAACTGGGCATAGAAACACTGTCGTTGTCGATGGCTCCGATTGGCAGCGACTCGATCGCGCTATTTGAGAAGTTCGCATACAAGTGGGGGAGGCTCTGTGGGGTTGGGGTCTGAGAGCATATGCCGAGGACCGTCGAGGGCAACCTCTGCATCACTCTCGGCCCTCCGCGACTTCAGCCTTCGCCCATATCTCGACGATGTGTAGCCTTTGGACGAGGATGTAGCTGCGACATTTGGTCAACGCGATGCGAAGCAGCAGGAGCAGACAGCAGGTCTCAACTTATGGCACCCTTTGTAATCTTTTAATTACGGCTCCCTGTCGTGGCGGGGGCGGCGGGGGCGACGATAGCATCAGCACCGGCGACGTAATCACAGAGTATCGCGGCAGGTCGACATGCCTCCTGGACCGGGCCGCGCCGCGCGCAGCTCGACCCCTCCCCTCCCCTCCCCTCCCGTCATCCTCGCGGGCGATATGAGCTGCTTTCGTCAGATATTTGCCTGTTGCTTCCTCCTCCTGGCTCCGGCGGGCGGCACTGAGCAGCAGCAGCAGCAGCAGCCAGCGAAGCACCCGAGTTAATAAAAGCGAAAGGCCAAAGCCAATAAGGCTGTTATTGCTATCGAGACACAATAGGGCGCGCGCTGGAGGGTGGCGCCGCCCGCCCGCCCGCCCGCCCGCCCCGCAGGTACGGAGGGCGCGCCGCACCGCACCGCACTGGTGCCGCCGAGTGCAGCGGTAATGAGGTCCCACCCGACAACAGAAAGGTTCCATCGAAACGACGTGTCGAAATCAAAAATACGCCCTTCCAACCGGCTTTATGCCGCGGGTGTTACGCGGGCGGGTTTGCCTACTCCCTCTGTCCAAAGCCCACGAGGACACTGTAAATTGAGGGGGGTCTCAAATGTATCCGCCAAAAGGCGTATGCTACAGGATCCCGAGCGACATTTGGCATATACTTTTGAGACGTCTTTTAGCGTATAGATTGTAGATTCTTTGCCCACACTACTCCCACGGCACAGTCCCTGCTCTGAGCGTGCAGGTGTGAGGGTGTAGGTGCACAGGACGTGAGCGCGTTCCAGAGTGTATCAAAGGGCTTCTGCTGTGCTGTGGGAATGGTGGGCAAAGATGTCTAGAATCTATTCGCAAAAAAGATGTCTAAAAAGTATTATCGACAAATGTTGCTCGGGATCCTGTAGCATTACGCCTTTTGGCGTATACATCTAAGACAGCCTAAATTACAGTGTACACAAACCCGCCCTCCTAAACACCTGGTGCGTCGTGCCACTA